ATTGGCTGCATCCTCCTTTCCTGTTATCAGCGCGTCTGGATGGAATAACTGACGGTACGTTCCAGTGCGGATTTCGTCCACCACCGTCGGCTCAAGGTCAATGAAAATAGCTCGTGGAACATGTTTGCCTGCCCCAGTTTCAAGAAAGAATGTTTCAAATGAATCATCACCATCACCAATGGTTTTGTCAGCAGGTTTGTGACCATCAGGTTGAATTCCGTGCTCTAGGCAATACAGTTCCCAGCATGCATTTCCAATTTGGCAACCACCCTGACCAATGTGAATGCTGATACATTCACGCATTGTTTTGTGCTGTTGGAAAGAATCTCCTTAACACGGATGGAATGAGGAAGCTTTGAGTACACACTTCTACGTGGATTTTTGTTACCGATTTGTCGGTAGAACCACCTTTGAGGACCTCGTTTGGACGTCAGATGCTATCGATCCTTTCGTGTGCTTTTACCATGTGAAAGTCATGCTTCAATCACATGGATGTGGTTTGTAATCGCACAAATTAGTATTCTACAGATTTGTCACTGGTTCGGCTTAGGTGTTACGAAATTTTTTTCTGCGATCAAATTGAAACCTTCAAATGTTACACATTCATAGGACTGCACAAAGGGTTCTCCAGGGTGAATGGGCAATTTTGCGGGGGAGAATGTGCAACTTTGGCGTAAGATGCATTTTTGTTACGTCAAAAGTTGCTTCATTTTCATATCAGCGAAATAATATCGCATTTGCGATAAGATGATTCGGTGCGAGTTCCGGCTTTGGTGTTGGTGTTAATTCTTACCATCGGTTTACAGACTGAGGCATTTGATGTGATGCTTTGTTTGACTGCTGAAAATGGTTTGTGGAGGATGGACTGGCCTCTGGACCGCGTTGAAAGCTCGATTTCTTTCTCGTTTGTCTTGAATTTGTGTTTTACTGAAATGCTCTCCCATGGTCTACACATAAATATGTCTGGAGTTGCTTAAGTACGGGCAGGAGGTCAAATGGAATGACCTACCACTGAGTGCTTGAACGGGCCATGGCAACTTTTCCTGTATGCGCATTTGTACATGCAGGCACACTGCCAGGCTAACATGATCGCCGACCTACTGTGGCGCACTGGTAGTCTACGCTCCCTCACTTGAATGTGGCGCCGTCGTTGTAGGAGGTTATTGTCAAGTCAGATACGCATGCAGTTCTGATTGGCCTTAACTGATCCTCGTACCTCCTCTCAAGTGGGAATTTGTCTTATACGCCTAGCAAATTTACTATAAATTCTCAAAGCGGGTAAATAGGATGGTCTTCCCCTAGGCACTTTGTAGTGCGTAGAATAAATGCTACATTGCTTTTAGGAGCAAGAAAAAACACGATGAAGTTTCGTGAGTGAGGAGGTGTCCCTCACTGCTGAGGCTCAAATCACATTAGTCGGGAGTATTCGGCTTGAAAGTTCTCTCTTTTTACATCGATATACTTAATTTTCATGACTAATAAATCTATATAGAAAAGGTGAGTTTACTTAAATAGAATCTCAAGCAAGTAAGTAGTACATTCAATCACTTGGTAAACTAAAATGCAAATTTAAATCAAAGCCTAAAAACTAAAAAGAA